TCGACCACCGAGCTTTGAGATGGCTAGCGCTACGCGCTGTTGCTCGGTCTGGAGCATGACTGATGCGATGGCTATCTCGACCTTTCTCACCCAGAGCAGGAGATTCTCTCCATCCTTCTCCTCAAAGACTTTACCGCTCACCACGAGCGGCTTAGGGCGGGCAAACTCATCTGTCACCGACGGTGGCGTCATAGACGCAAATGATGCATGTATCTTCTGCTGCAGGTGATCTAGTAGCACGCTTTCGTAATTTAAAAATGCATCTAGACGCGCACCGATTGCTTCGGGATCTTGCGCATCAAGGTGCGCACGCCCTCAGGGCCCAGCAAGGACATCAGCAGGTTAAGCCCGTCCTGCATGCCCTGGGGAAAAGAGGAAAATTGTTCCATCCTCAAACAGTATCAGTCTAAACGACTTAGGTGTAGATTGACTACAAGTGCTATTAAGTGCAGCGGGGCTGCCGTAGTTTTGCGCTTTGAGGAAGTGTAAGTTAGGTCACCGACCTCTCGTTCTATACCCAGAAGAAGTACGAGAGTTTAGCGGATTGCAATCCGCTTACTCTCAGAGTAATTATAGCCTTAACCCATGGCTAATTAACTCTTCGGTTTAAATTCAAAACTGACTTTATTTATTTTATCTACTGCAAAGCCGCCAAATTTTAAATACATAGATTCTCCTAAATAGGTATAGTAAAATCTTAATACATGCATAACTTCTGGCTATCCAGCCCCGTACCGTATTCTTGTTTGGGTGTGGTCACACTATGCCTATCTGATGTGACACACACCCCTGCTACCAGGGTATGTGTAACCCCCGTTACAACAAAGCCCCGATGCGTTACACCTACGTATTCGATTAGATTTTATGAGTGGCTTATATAGACTCAGGCATTCCATACGTAAAACTCAATCATATCTTATTACAATGTTGGAAGCGAGCAACGTCTCTCCTTGTCAAACTCCCATTTTTACAGGAAGGACAGAGCATAATATCCGACTGTTTAATAAATGTACCCGTCCCGACAAGCACGTATATAATATTCACACTCAGCTTCTTTAATACTATCGGAAACAAATCTGAGTCGTACGTGATTGCACGCCGTGCTGTGTATATCAGGAATTTCTAATTCTTTTTGAAGGCCACACGGTTAGCGACAGCAAACAAAGCCTATGACCGTGAATCTACAACTCTTATAAGAGTCATTCCTCGTAAAGCGGAATCTGATTGACCACGCTCATGGGAGGTACAATAGAACCTGCTATTACTCGATCTACTGACCAAATCTTGACGACCCCCGCGAGGGTTTGTCGGTCGCCTTGTACAAAAGCCCGACTCATCGTACCGCTCAGACGTGAAAAAAGGGCACACCTGACTTAAAGTCTGGATAATCTCATAGATGTAGGATTGCGAGGATCTCGTTGCCTTTTGGTAGCAAAGAGGCTTTTTTTCTCACTCCATCATGTCTTACATTTATCGTGTATAGAACGATCGTAGAGATCCACCTGTCGCACTCAAAAATGCCTTCGCGAGACAAAATTTGTACTTGCATATTGTTTTACAAACATACCTCTTTAAGGATGTGAGGTAGGCGCGACATGTCTCAGTGCTTACCTTATATGAGAATGGTAACAGTCGCCATCTTGGGAAGTGCTACCGTCATGGCGATAATTGTATCCAACTGCTGGTTATATTCCTCTCTCGTGACGAAAAGATAGGAATCTCATTCGCATAAAGTACGTCTTTTTAGAAGTACGAGCATCCGCCACACTGTCGCTTGAGAAGTTCCCATGATGAAAATGGCTCACTAATTGATGACCGTATAAAAGAGCCCATTTTTGCGCTCGGTCTTTGTGAAGCATTACTTAAAGTCAATTTTAGCAATTAATTCTTAATATATCAGCCTTACTATTTACAAAAAGAAAACTTTCGTAGTACATAGCGTGAGGGTGGCAGCCCACGTGTCCCGTGGACATTTTCTATCGAAAGCTCCATCCCCTTCAAACGAACGAATTATAGCCATGAGATATCATCATAATATCATATTTTGGTGATTTTGAGCCTGGTGCTGAAATTGATGAACAAAAGTGACACTATACATACGTATAACATTGTACTCCCCCAAAGGGGGAGGGTGTTCAGGTATAACTCATTACGTGTTCAACTCATTATCAATGGTCTAGATCTGGTTCAATGATCCAAACTTGCTTGGCTACGAGTACGAGAGCTGAACTGAATTTCTCCAAGTTCACTTTCGATTATGAAACATCTTGGGTATGGATTTGATCGATAGGATCTATAAATAGCTGTACGCTGCGACACAACACAACCCTGGGCCTCTTATCTGTATAAATAGCCAGTTTAATCAGAGATCAAGAAGTGATCAAAATATGCGATAAGGGAGTGAGACATGACTTCATCGGCCATTAATTCTGAGGTACCGATAGCGGACGTATATGCAGCAGCTAGCAAAAGCATGACTGCCCATGAAGACTGACTTGAAGATTACTATGCTCGAGTGATTTCGCTTTTGTATTGTGCACCAGCTCTAAAATTGGGTGAAAAAGACACGTTGCGTAGGTTTAAAAAGTCGGGCTCAATGTCACTGACTTCAGCCTAAACTCAACTTAAATGCTTGATTTCGCGAAGTATGTCGAGGATGAGCCGGAATCTCGCTCACATTCCAATTTGTGCTGCGGGCGACTCACGGTCAGATCCATACACCTGCTGGTACTTCTACGGCTCGGATGAACCTGGTACAATATCCGATTTCATTCTTTAGTGCATAGCGCACTGAGCTGCACAATTTATTTTTCGCCCTGTGGTAGTAAAGACAGAAGTATAACGCGTCGCAAGTTTCAAAAACGCCAAGGAGATTGTGCCGACGTGGTAACTCTGGCTTATATAAGATGTCGGAGTGAGAGTAATGACAAGTACAATATATGATGTACACTAAGGGAACACGACCGCTCGCACTTCGTTTCACATAGAGATGATATTCACCTTAATTATCAAGCAGAACCGAAGAGGACGACTCTCACATGGCTACCCGATCGGATCTCTCATTTGTGGTTGCACGTCGACTCCCTACAAAAAAACCACGCGCATCCGATGTTGAGACGACTCGTTTCTAAGAAACGTCGGGAGCCTGCAAAAAGGTTTTTGGCGTCCCAAGTGATTTGAGCCCGAAACTTAGCAGCTGCTTGGAAGCTGACTCGTATTCGCTTGATTTGCGCTATCACGGAGCGTGTTTTCATGCAACAGTGGCGCCTTAAAACAGACCGTACACGCCTATAAAAGCTGCAGAGAAGAACTACCCAGTTCATTTCAAGAAGCTACTTGCGATGAAGTATGCACTTGAGGCTTCAATCAACTCTCTTAAAACGATATCGCATTCCTTGACAGCTTAACAATGTGAGGGATTTTGGTCTTGGCAGGAAGGGGCTATCAATATTGAATGGCTTATCGGTATTCTCCCGGGTACGCTTTGTAGCAGAATCGACAATTCTTCTCGAAGAAAGTAAGTGGCGTGCCAGACCCTCTTAAGCTCCGGCTGAACGTTAGAAACAAGAACGTGAATAAAAGATTTAGACGCAAAGCAGATAAGATCATTGTGGGTGACTAAGGTTGATCATACTCCATAAGCTCACCAACACATGCAGCGTTTGCAGCGGATAGGATTAAGCTGCGTTATCGCTTTTACACCCACAGCCAAACAAAAATTATATTAGAGTATGTAAGATCCTGGATAAATTGCGTGCATATTTGTTTGATGTGGCTCGTAAGATGACCCCAACTTCACAGGTCACTTAGACACTAAAAAATGCTCCCAACCACGCGACCAACGCGTTCCGTCTGGCCATCGATTTGAGGATGGTCCGCTGGACATGTCCAATACACTAACCAAAAATATACTGTAAAGTAAATTCGATATAACGAAAAGCTTTTGTCGAGTAAAAATCTAGCCGCATCATTTGCGGTCTCCGTATGTGCTAAGCAGCCAAAGTCAGCATTGCTGGAGCAATGCTGACCACACGGTGGAAAAGGCAGCACTAGACAGGATACAGCATTACTGTGAATAAAATAGCAGTGTCTTGTTTCCAGGAAACAAAATATAATATTTTGGGGGAGTTAGAGGCGAAATCGTAGCAGGATTTCAAAGAAATGATACTTTAAGTCGAAATAGCTATCTAGTGTTAGTGCGAAATAAAATTTAATGTACAAATTGATTTAAGTTGACTTGTTAATTAAAGCGAATCCAGGAAAAGTTTGAGGACATACGGATCCAACGTAATGAGAACACATATCGTTACCGTTAATGCGCAAAAGGGTACATGCAATATCGATTGCATCTTGCATCATAAGTACAGACCGCATTTTTGTGGTGTTTTAGCGATCAATGCGCACCTCCCTGTCTTGATTCGTGACTCACCATCAAAGTAAATGGCAAGCACCACGGCAAATTCCTTTTCCAGAGATGTCAAAGCACAAACTGCCAAAGAAACAGTTAATCCACATCATTTTCCAATGTAAATGGCTTTAAACAAGCTGGGCAGTTTTCAGCCCAGCGACGGTGAGAGTAAACCATTGCGACATAATACAACCACACACGAATCAGTTGGACTATTCAATATGTTGGCTTTTTGACTTCACCACGATATTTTATTTACGACCTCATTTACCCGCTCAAAGTCCTTGATCAAAACCACTATTGCCCTCTCTAACCGTACAATACAATTTTGTGTGTCTATCGTTGCGGTTTCCTTAAGTTTCAAAACTAGGTCGTCCTTCGACGTCCTAGTTTTACTTATCGTGGACACTGACGAAAGTGTCGCGAGCATCGAGCAACGTACTGTGGTAAGCGCAGTGCTGCTGCATTTTGGTTGCTAGAACTACTGTCAATGTATCACGATCACCGAATCGAGCGTTGAGTGCAGAAAGCGATCTCATTTCCGTGTTCGATCTCGAGCACTCTGGCCTGAGTTTGAAATTCAGATGACACAACCGATTCGCCAAGCAAACCAGTATTCGTGCCAGATTCACAGTTAACAACTGTCTTACTTGTTTACAGTTTTTAAGCGCAGTGAATACCTTCTCGTATACATTTGCCTTGTCCATAAGTTGAACCTTACCGTTTGTCAGTAGTCGGCTGTGTAGCCGTGTTGTCACTTTTCCACTTCATCTTGCGCTTCTCTACACTCAGCTTCAGTCCCCGGCGACTGCGATACTCAAGACCTTCGGCCATATGTTCATGGTAGATATCACCAAGTGAGGCTTAGCTACTTCTTCCGGTATAATTTTTTGTCAGTCAGGAGAAATCCTTCAGCACTGCTATTGCCATTAGCTGCGACCATAAAGCAATCGGCGACGGAGGCACCATCACCAGTATCTAGTAAAAGAACGGCGATTGACGCATAGCAGCAACAAAGGAGTAACTAGAATGCACGAACCGCTGTGATACATATGTCCTCTCGAGACAAGGAGGTATTTTGATCTAGGCAAGCTGTATAGCCAATTCAAACCACATTGTTCGCAGTGATGCTACAACAACAAAATTATCGTACAGACAATCGTAACCCCCCGAAAGTTGCAGCTTGCAAGCTTGTACACCTCCACATAGCAATATTTCAATGATGCTTCAATTTCACCATCAGAATCTCGGCGAAGCGGATCACAACACGCGTAGGGAGTATGCAGAGATGAAAAGATATACTAGGTTCCAAAACTCCGACAAATTATTGCAATGCTCGAAGTAGGTCCCTGAGCGAAAAGCGCACTATAGTGCTCAACGATTTCGCTGTTGCAAAGCTAGAGCATCGACATAGGATAAACATAAGCACCTCATAGCTCTCACAATCGCGATCCTGTACCATTCAACGAGAGCACAAAATGCGGAATGGCAACATTCTTGCGCGCTCTATTCGGGGTACAAAGTGAGTTTGTTGTTGGTGGGCAAATTCAATTGTGTAGCGCATCATCGCCACGGTACGTCCGCCCAGTGGGCTAGTCTGCGATACTTTATATTAAATATTTTGCTACAAACATTTAAATATTAGTCACTACAGCATCGCCAAATTAAAAAATCTTCCTAGTTTGATACGAATTAATTCAAGAGTAAGTAACTTAGCTTCACTACTAATATGCCAAATCAAAATACTGGTCGTTCGACGTAATATTGACGAGAACGGTTAGTTCACAGCGTCAAGCTATTCGGTAAAGAGCTGAGCCGAGCTGCCTAGATGCTCTGAAAGTCGCACAACTTCACTGACTTTCTTAAATCTAACTGACGATTTTCAAAGCGCACCCGAATTTACCGTCTATGTTGGTCTGACTTGATTCGCCGAATATATGTGTAATTAGTTTGGTGACACTGGACTAGCACCACCTAACTCGTACTTATGCAGCCCCCGAATCGAACGGAACAGCGGACGAGAAGCGGACGCAAGTGTCTGGCGGGCCACATCAACCAACATCTCATTTCCTCGATTTTGGTCTCAAGAACAGCCCCCAGTAGCTAGCGAATGAATTCTTTAATTAGTGCATCCAGCAACGGCGATATAGCTCAGCACGCGACAGCTAAGTATCTTTGCGCAGCCCGAGGACCGGACCTTCCAATAAACGCAAGGGCAGCTGAACTCGGCTGTAGCGTCGGCCACCACGAAATGACAGCGAAGTCCAAGCTGTATACTGATCTGCACGACAGCAGATCCAGTAACTACGATTCCAATGCACGAGCTTCAACTGTTAAGCCTAAAAAGAGTGTGCGGTGGGCTACAATTACCGTGCACGAGTTTGGCGTAGGACTAGGCGGCAGCGCCGTTTCCAGCAAGGGTGGTCCGTCCATTGGCCTCGCAGATACACCCGAGTTCACGTGGACAACTCGAGTGGGCGAGATGGCCGAGTGTGTCGAGGGTGTGCATCGCTTCACGCCTGGTCAGCGTATCCGCCTACTACAGGCCGCCGGTATCCCGGATGGAATTATCACACGCCACGCAAGAGAAACCAACATCATTCTGGGTTCGCGACGACGTTCAAAGACCAGTTGGAAAGACGGCGAACTGGACGAAGAGGACGAGAGAAAAGTGGAAACGTACGGTAGATTACCAAAAAAACGCAGTGCTGAGCAGGCCCTACTAGAGCATCCGCGCTCCATCTTTTTGAGACGACCAAGAATGATCGCGGTGAATTATGTGTAGCTGGACCGACCGCAAGCCAATACAAGCCGTTTCTGGAAACCAATCTATTTGACGGATATGAAGTATGCTCAAGTGACTTTGTATGAGATGCATATAAAGGAAAGACTCGGGTGGATGAGATAAACTAGCTGACGAAGACTAAGCGACTGGGTATGAGAGCATACAGCATGTACTCTAGTGCCTTTGTTGACACGCGCACATTCGTAAGAAGTATTATTTAAGCAATCGAATGCATCAATAGTGTCATCTTTCTTTGATCATCACTTGCTTTCACGTCAATAAGCTCTAAACCGATTGTTGACATTAAACATTGACAATGCGTTCGTAAATCCAGCAAACAGATATTACAAGCTCACACGCTAAATTTGAGTGTTACAGGATGTGGATAACCGGACTCCTTAATGAAGCTATCCATAATATTTATCTACATAGCCGTATCTCGGCTATTTTGTATGATTGAGATGTTATTAGACACTTCGCAGCCGATAGAACCTCAGTGAAGAAACCACCACTACAGCTTGATACAAGTAGCTGCTTTACCCTGACAAAAACCCTT